ACAACAGGCTGCCATTCAAGGAGAGCAGGTCTTTGATGAACAAGGCACAGGACAGATCTTCACCCAGGAACCGGTCTCTAGCTTGCAAGAAGACTCGGATCTGGAGAAAATACAGTTCCCAGCTCAAGAAGAAGAGCAGGTCACCACTCAGACTGCTATTACTGAAGAAGAGAGTCCCATCCAGCTTGGGGAACAAGGCGGAGATCAACTCTCCATTCAAGAGGAGGAGCAGCATCTTAGCCAGGAAGGCGAGTACCATGCGAAAGTACAAGAGTACGTCCCTCTCCAGGACGAATACCTTGCTTCAGCCGTGGAGGCTCGAACAGGCAATGAACAAATCTACCCCCTTCAGTGGCGAATTCGTGTTCCCATGCCGTCAGAGGAAGGGTCTCCTGTGCAAGGTGAAGGCCAATTTGCTGTCAACCAGGAAGAAGGAAATACAATCCAGGTAGAGGAAGAACCCACTACCCCAGCTGTTCCTCTTCAGGATGAAGAACAATTTGTGGAAAATTTCGAAGAACAATTCCCTACCCTAGAAGAGGAGGCTTCCGATGTACAGTCGCATACTGGAGAACAGAATCCTGTTTACAACGAAGAATACATCCCTGCTTATGGACATGAACAGATCTTCACTCCCACTGGAGAACAATTTCCCACCGAAAGAGAAGAGCATTTCTCCGTCCACACAATTGAAGTTCTCCCAGTTGATGATGGAAATGGACATTTCTCTGTAACGACTGTCTTCCCTGAACAGCTAGATGATGAATCTACAGGCTTCCCTGTTCCAGGCGAGGGCTTCCCTGTTCAGGAAGAGGAAGTTCATGGCTATGGAATCGAAACTTCTGATGTGCCAAATATTCCCCCAACGAAAGTACCATCAACATTCATCATTGAAATACCATCCGAAGTATTTGAAGCTCCTGCTGAAGTAGCAGCCCAAGGTACATTTGGTGTGGCTCAGACAGATCTTCCTCCAGGTTATATGGGAGAACAAGAAACTTCAAGTCAGCCTGAAGTCGCACAAAAGGAATACACAGAAGATTATTTCAATCAAGCTGTGACTTCGTTTTATGGTCTGCAAGAAAAAGATGAGACAACTGTTTCTCCAACTGACTTGGAACATGACCAGGTCCCTGAGGCTGTCCAGCCTTTGTGCAACAGCATTTCATGTCCAAGCCAAGACCAGGAATATAGTTATGGAATTGTAGATGAAGTCTCTCCACAGACTCCACCCTTTACTCAGGATCTAAGTGTTGAAAAGTTTGACAACACGCAGGTCCAGGATTCTACAGGCCTTGTTGAAGAGGAAGATTATTCCAATGAATCATCAGAAGAGATCTATGGAGGGAGTGATAATCAGACAACAGTGGCCCCTGAAGACAGTGAACAGAACGAGGTTTTCCAGGTAGACATCCGCCATGAAAGTCCTGTAACTTTCAGTGGGGAAGGAGACTTTCAAGAACCAGAAGTGAGTATCATCCACCAGATTCCACAACTCTATGAAGCTCCTGAGACAGCCTTTGTAACAGAGGAAGCTGTGACTGCATTCGAGACTGGCACAGAGATAGTGACTGAAGTGCCAGAGCAAGATGATGTTCAGCTAAAACTCCATGAAGGTAGCCTGGAGATAGATTCCTCATTGTACATCATCCCTGATGTACACCCTGAGGTCTTGAGCAGCAGCAGCGACCCTGTAGATCCTGTGGTGTCCCTGATTCAGAGGGGAGAGAATGATCGTCGCCAAAATGCAAGCAGTAATACTACACATGGAGTATCAACTTCAGACCAAGGACCTGCTGAAGATGCCACACAGCCTACCTTCCTTCAGGATGAGTACACTACTATCCTTCCTGACACCCGGGAAGATGTTACTCCCACTCCCTATGATGAAGACACCACCTCCATTCCCACTGAAGGGGAAGATACTACATTCCTTCTAGTAGCCAAAGAAGATACAACACCCTTCCCAGCTGATGTAGAAGAAACTACAGCCTTCCAAACTGGCCTCCATGACATTACCGACATCCCTTTCAATCAAGTTGATGAGGCAAGAATTCCACTCTCAGCTCAAGGGGACCACGATACTGAAGGTCTCATTGCTCCCGACGTCCACGCAAACACAGGTGAATTCAACAAAGATCAAGACACTGGATATCCACACACTAATTATCATCAGGAGTCACAGGCACCTGAAATCACTTACTATGAGGCATCTCAGGACCAGGCCTCGGATTCATTCCCACAGACACCACAGGAAGCAGTCACTTTTGAACAGGAAACAGTTGCTTATGGGCAGACACCACAAGAACCAGTATTTGAAGAAGGACTACAAGAAAACCAGGAACCAGTCACTCTTGGAGAAGGGTCAGTTACTTTCGAACAGACTCCACACGAACCTGTCACTTTTGAACAAAGACCACAAGATGTCACTTTCGAACAAGTACCGCAGGAGCTAGCGACTTTTGACGAGGTTACTTCTGAACAATTACCACAGAGACCA